TCGCTCTTATCAAGGCACTTGACATCAAGCACATGAATCGCCTAGAGATGCGTGCAGTCGAGGTTAAATGGCTCGGCATGCGCCAACAACCTGGGGAATCTATTCCTGCTTTTGCTGACCGCGTGGAAGACATTGCTCACATCAAGGAAACCCTGTCTGGCGTTTCGGTGTTGGATGCTCAGATGAGCGAAAGACTTGCTGATGGTTTGACTGACGGTGACTCTATCTTGGCTAAAAGTCTTATCGATCCCTTATTGAAGATGCCCTATGAGGAGTTTAAGCAGTCTATGCTCAGCTTCCTTGAGTCTATGAACAGTGCGGCACATCTCAACTTCCTCAAAGGCTCGTCAAAGTCATCTCAGCTGCCTCAAAATCTCCGTCAGTCATCGCCGAAGCGAGCCGAGGGTAACTCCAATGCCAGTGAGGGCAAGGTACACTCGACCGTTGCACTGGAGCTGGGTTTGGACAAGGATGCATGCATCCGTTGCGGGCATGCAGGACATCGCGCTGGTTCTTGTACTGGTGATATTATATACCGCCAACATGACCGCTGTGATCGTTGTGGCAAACTGATCATCGGTGAGACTACCAAAAGTCACAAATGTGACCGTTCCCGTTTTCGGTGCTCTCGCTGCAACTAAACTGGTCATCTATCGGGTGTCTGTCGCCGTGGATTACGTCCTGTTCGACCGAATCAGTCAGTTGGTGGAAAGGAGCACACCCGAGCGGCTACCTCATTTACCGAGGGTGACGCCGAATTGGTCAGATACTTTTAACTCATGAAGTCACATTTGCTGAACTTCCCCACGCCTCGTCACGTTGTCAGAAAAAGAGAACTTGAACCCAGGAGTGATCGACGTGTGATAAGAAAATATATAGCACAGTTGCTAGTGAACCCGCGAAACCATACACTCTAAATGGTTCCCACTAACGCTAGCCTCTGATACTCTGCAAAGTTGAGCAGGAATCATGGTGACACGGAATGGAAACATGGAGATAAATGTATCACTCAGAAATCTATATTCTACGAGTTTCTGTGTCAC